AATTATAAACACTAGACTCAATTATCAGGAGTGGATTCAGTTTGACTCACCCTGTATAACTTTTTTTTAAACTCATGTTAAATGAACATCAATCTCGCCAATTATAACAATTTTTATTAATACAATTACTAATGTCGTTTTGACATACAAATTCCCTAACAAAATAAGAAACAATTTACCTAAACTCAAAAAAAAAATCAGATTGCAACTTTTAACTTTGTCACACTTTCAATACTTTAATAGTCTTTACCAAAACTTATTTTATTTTTAATTTGTTTTACCCTTTGCAGGCAGTTTAATTGCAAGAATTAAGTAAATTTATTATTTAAACGCAATTTGATTTAATTAAAAATCTGCAGATTTCTTTCTTCTATTAAAAAACAGTGAAAACCCCTTTAAATCTAAGTCAACTTAATATGTAGAAAAGAAAGCAATTTCTTTTAGGAAACCAATATCAACAGTAGAATTAACAAATTATTATTAATGTTTATCGAACTTCCTAACTATGATATCAATAAATCAAAGTACATAAATCTGTCACAAACCAAACAACACTTACTATGTCTTAGGTTTTGTAAAGGATCTCTTCCAATGGATCCCTTTGTAACCAGAACAGCTATTCAAAAATAGTAATCCAATGAATGTCCTGTGTATGTCCTTAGACGGAGAATACCACACCATCCAAAGGTGTATTTCGTTGGAGTTCAGTATAAAAAAAAAATATTACCTATGATCCATTTACAAACTATACAATTGTTTTTGGATCATTTATGAGATTGACGTTCACTTGTAGTTTATTAGTTTAACACTCTTGTATTTTCTTATTTCTTAATTATATTTTTTTTTTTAATATCTTTCAAAATTTTTTTGACAAGACTTTCTTTCTCAAAATTCCTCTGTCACCCCCTGACAACCCTAAGCTGGGTCTTTTATACTTTTATTGTGCCAAATCACAATTGATAAAATGAAATGACAATACACAGGTTAGTACTTACAATCATTAATTGATTTGATTTACCTTTTTTATTTTCGAGTTTCTTTTTAAACAAATTTTAAACAAATTTAGAGATGTTAAATGATTTTCAGTTTGAAACTATACTATTTATGACAGTAGTTTCATAGTATAATAGATTTAATTTCGTTAAAACTATCATACAAATCTTTCTCAACCACTCTGGTATGTTTATATCGTCCTCCAAAGAAAACTTCTCTAGAAAACGACCAAGAGCTTTTTGAGGTACTTTCAAATCTATCTATTTCCCATGACAATCTTGTGGTGGTTGGGGATTTCAACTATCCAGAAATTTCCTGGCCCCTTACTGCAGGTCTTGAAGCATCACAAAACTCTGTTTCACACTTTATAAATTTTATTATAAACTCCAATCTTGAACAACTTATAAACGAACCTACCCGATTTCGGTTAAATCAAGAACCTTCAACTCTAGACCTTATATTAACAAATGACGACCAACTTCTAATTTCTCCATCTGTCCACTCACCTATTGGGAAATCTGACCATGGCGTTATTATATTTAATATGCAATTTAACATAGAAACCCCTAATTCCGATAGGGACGTAACCTATAGTGTCACAAATCCTCTCCGAAATTGATTGGAATCACTTTTTTAGAAGTACTGTATTAGTAGAAGATATGTGGACACTATTTCATACAAAGATATCTGAAATTGTGAAGGCTAATACAAGAAACAAAAAACGTCCTCAAAATAAATTAAAACCCTGGAGCAATGGATAACTTTTAACTTTAATAAAACATAAGAAAAGTAGGTGGAAAAAATTTAAAGCAACCAAAAAACATGATGATTTTGTTAACCATCGACGTTTCGCAAACGATTTAATCAATGTTATTGATATCGCAAGAAGAGAATATGAAGAATATATCGCTAGTAGCGATAACCCTAAGAAGCTATTTAAACACATAAGTATCAGTACCGCTTCTTAAAAAAATGGATGGAAACTTATGTAATAATGATCAAGAAACAGCTGAAGCTCTGGCCAACCATTTTTCACAAGTGTTTTCCTTAGAACCCACAAGCGACATCCCAGTTAGTCACGATGCCCGAACAGCAACCTCTTTATGTAATGTCGAGTTTTCATCTGCAATTGTTGATGAAACTCTCAACAAAAATCAGTCAAATTCCTCACCTGGAATTGACAATTTATCCGCAATGCTTTTAAAAGAATGCGTATCTTATTTGGCTTTACCTTTATCTATAATTATGACATCTTCCTTTACATCTCACACACTTCCTTCAATGTGGAAAATTGCTTCGGTGACACCTATTTTTAAAAAGGGTGACAAACTCAGTCCATCCAACTATTGTCCAATAAGCTTTGTCCCAATTGCCTGTAAAATAATGGAATCCATCTTAATCAATTATATGTCTGATTTGCTCAAGAGCCATGACATCTTGCCAAAAGAACACGGTTTTATTAAAGGCCGATCCACATTAACAAATCTAATGACCTGTTTAAACGATTGGACTACGTCTGTGGACAATAAAGAGCCTGTCGATGTCGTATATCTTGATTTCGCTAAAGCCTTTGACCGTGTTCCCAAAAAGAGATTGCTTTATAAGTTGGAAAAAGCTGGCATTCGCGGCTCTTTACTTCTCTTGATAAGTGATTTTTTGTCAAATCGCATCTTCAAGGTAAAAGTTGGACAGATGTTCTCGTCAGAGTATCCAGTTTTGAGTGGTGTCCCTCAAAGCTCTGTCATAGGGCCATTACTATTCTTGGTATACGCTGCAGATCTAGGCAAAGACTTAAATTCTAATATTTCGTGTTATGCTGATGACACTAAGCTATACTCTAATCCTGTGATAGATTCTACCCAGCTACAAAAAGACCTTAAAACTATTTCAAACTGGTGTGACACCTGGCTGCTTCCTTTAAACGCGGAAAAATGTGTCGTCCTGCATATAGGAAAAAATAACCCGAGCGTGAACTATTATTTAAACGGTAGTGCGTTAGCAACTGTGAACTCCTATAACGACCTGGGACTCATTGTGAACTCTTCATTAACGTGGTCAGAGCACATATCAGCGGTATGTAAACGTTCGAACTCAATGCTCTACCTATTAAAAAAGTCCTTCACGCGTGTGAACTTTCAAACATTTTCTAATCTTTATACAACTTACGTTAGACCGTTGATGGAATATGTCGGACTTGCGTGGTGTCCTGATCTGGTTTCTGATCAAAAAAGATTGGAAAATGTTCAACGCTACACTACTCGAATACCTTTCGGCAGAATCAGACCATCGTATGAAGAACGGCTTAACATTTTCCCACAGAAGATTAAGAGGTGATTTAATTGTGACCTACAGAATTCTTCATGGTACTTGTTCATCCAACCTCTATAGTATACTCCCACGGAATACAGATGAGCGCCTACGTGGACATGAGTATAAGTTGAGCAAAGAAAATTTTAAAAAACGTACCCGACAAAACCTTTTTTTTTAATAGAGTTTTCTATACTTGGAATAATTTACCCTCGAGTGTTGTTCGCGCAAAGTTAGTAAATGTATTCAAAAACCGACCCGATGACTTTTTTAAAGAAAACTAAAAGTTTATTTTTAGTGCTTTGTTATTAAACTTGTAATTTTGGGCTTAATAGGATTCATTCCTCAGCCCTAATTTATTTGTAATAATAATAATAATAATAATAATAATAATAATAATATTAATAATAATAATAATAATAATAATAATAATAATAATAATAATAATAATAATAATAATAATAATAATAATAATAATAATAAATAATAATAATAATAATAATAATAATAATAATAATAATAATAATAATAATAATAATAATAATAATAATAATAATAATAATAATAATAATAATAATAATAATAATAATAATAATAATAATAATAATAATAATAATAATAATAATAATAATAATAATAATAATAATAATAATAATAATAATAATAATAATAATAATAATAATAATAATAATAATAATAATAATAATAATAATAATAATAATAATAATAATAATAATAATAATAATAATAATAATAATAATAATAATAATAATAATAATAATAATAATAATAATAATAATAATAATAATAATAATAATAATAATAATAATAATAATAATAATAATAATAATAATAATAATAATAATAATAATAATAATAATAATAATAATAATAATAATAATAATAATAATAATAATAATAATAATAATAATAATAATAATAATAATAATAATAATAATAATAATAATAATAATAATAATAATAATAATAATAATAATAATAATAATAATAATAATAATAATAATAATAATAATAATAATAATAATAATAATAATAATAATAATAATAATAATAATAATAATAATAATAATAATAATAATAATAATAATAATAATAATAATAATAATAATAATAATAATAATAATAATAATAATAATAATAATAATAATAATAATAATAATAATAATAATAATAATAATAATAATAATAATAATAATAATAATAATAATAATAATAATAATAATAATAATAATAATAATAATAATAATAATAATAATAATAATAATAATAATAATAATAATAATAATAATAATAATAATAATAATAATAATAATAATAATAATAATAATAATAATAATAATAATAATAATAATAATAATAATAATAATAATAATAATAATAATAATAATAATAATAATAATAATAATAATAATAATAATAATAATAATAATAATAATAATAATAATAATAATAATAATAATAATAATAATAATAATAATAATAATAATAATAATAATAATAATAATAATAATAATAATAATAATAATAATAATAATAATAATAATAATAATAATAATAATAATAATAATAATAATCTTTATTTTATCCAACTTCAAACCATTAAATTAGTATATTATAAAGATTAAAAGTGCATAATTTTTCGCAGTAATAACAAATAATTTAATAATTTTTCATTTAAGGCCACACATGGAAAATCCTACGAAAATTTTGACGAAGAAAAGGTCCGTTTCCAAATATTCCAAGACAACGTACAAGAAATCAAGGCACATAACGCCCTTTATGAAGCTGGACTTAAAACCTACACCATGGCAGTGAACCAATTCGCTGATTTGACAGCCCAGGAATTCGTAACCATGCTTAGACTTAAAAATGGACCAATTAGAAGGGAGCACTTGACTCGTCATGTCCAAAATCCAAGTCTACCTGTTCCAGACTCCATCGACTGGAGGGAGAAGAAAGCCGTTTTGGGAGCCAAGGACCAAGGAGATTGCGCATCCTGCTGGGCTTTCAGCACAGTAAGTATATCTACTATTAAAATTTTACTATAAACTACTCATTTTGTTTTATAAAGCCTCATATTCACAAATAAAATAAACACGAAAAAGCAAGAATAATTGAGCTTTTTTATTTATAATGGAGATACTCCCTTCCTCGTGTTTGCTGTTTTGGTGAATACATGGCTTTAGATACTTTGCAATAGCTTGAGAGTCTAATAGTCGTAGATGTTGTAGTATACCGGTCAAAATATAGTGTACATTTTTTTGTTTTTGCCTGCTGATACTGATACCTGTACAGAGTTGTACTTAACAAGCAAATACATTTGGTTGAAATCTTACAAGTTTTCCTTGAATGATATGATGCATTATCTAAGACAATCACACTGTTTGGATGTAGTGCTGACAACAGTTTTTCTTTGAACCAAGGCTTCGGTTTCATGTCATTTCTCAGTTTTATTAGAAAAATAGATACGCATTTTTTTTTAAACTTATCTTCTAGGTGTCAAGTTATTGCAGTTACCTACAACCGTTGAAAACTGTGCTTTACTTAATCCGGTTAAGCATTTGCAATCGTCGTCATCCATATTTTTAATATCAAAATCGAATATCTTGCTTTTTTCTTCAAGAGCTACTACGCGATCAGTGAGCAGATTAATTAAACATTCATTATCACCATGAGTAAGCTGCCTAGGAGTAGCCCGCAATCGCAATAGAGCAACATATTCTTCAGAAAAGTAACCATTCTCAAAATGTTCCGGGCATGATTGGTTCTCCAAGTTGCAAAATATCCTGTTTTAAATCCATAACTTAAGAACAGCTTCCCTTGAAATACTCTTCTAAAAATTAGTCATTAAAATATTTAAAACGAAACGTTGCCACATTAAATTTATTGACATTATTCGTTTCTAAATATTTAAAACATTTAAATTTTTTGTCAGAGACCACCCAAATTTCTCTATCAAAAGCATACCCTCCTTTGTCGACCTATTTAGCGCTAGATTCACAGCCCTTGGCTCCTTAGGACGAGCCACCACTGCTCTATGAATGATTTCAGATCGGTACCATAGAGGGACAAAACGCTATCAAAAACAATCAAAGAGTACCTCTTAGTGTACAACAATTGGTTGACTGCGACAACGAGGAGAATGAAGGTTGCGGCGGTGGTAGGATGACGGCCCCTTTCAAATATGTCATCAAACATGGAGTTAATAGCGAAGCTGAATATCCATACGTAGCTACAGACAACAAATGTAGGGCCAAGAATAGTACTGTTGTTACAGTTAAGGAAGGCGTAGCCGTTGATCCTACCGAATCTGCCCTCAAAGAGGCTGTTGGTAAGTACGAACTTAAGACCACACGTTATATTTGGTGTATTAATAAGCTTGGTGTGGTGATTCTCTTTCTCTGCCGCTTTATTTGAAATAAAGTATTTTGTTTTTACATTCTGAAATTTGGGCTATTTTCAGTCAAATTATTTATAGGTTACTTATATGAACGTGAGATGCGTTTCTATAGTTTGTAATTACGGCTATTTTTAGTTAAATGATATACTTAAAGAGTATTTAAATCAACTTTTTTCTGCAATATGAGAAAATAAATCTCACGTAAATTAACAAGAAACTTTTTAAATTTTATTCTTGCCATGTACGGTCATCTGGAACTTTTTTAAAAATATTCACGTTTTATTCAGGAATACAAATTTAAGAGGGTTTTTTCTGCTATAAAATTTACATCAGGTGGTTTCCAATTCTTACTATTTATCTGAAAAACGCCCAAGATCTTTAGCACTAGACAAGTCATAGCCACCAAATTTAATTTTTTGTGGTATTTCATTGTTCAAGTTGCATTCAGAACAGGGGGCTAGCGCCTGACTCTAGATTTTCTTGAATTCGGAACAGAAGGCTAGTGCCTGACCCCAGTAGGAGCTTAATGTAAAAATATTTTAAAAAAATCAAGGATCTTGGTTAAAATCAATTTTAATAAAAAAAATATTGTACATTTTCTAATTGTATTAATTTGTTTGCTGGCTGTGTGCCTAGGGCAAATATACTTTTCGCAATTAGATATGCCTTCATATATTTTCTATCAGTCGACCTTGGACAAATAAAACACCTTCCTTTTTATGGGATTTTTTTGCACAGCGGACCGAGTAGCTGGTTTGATAGGCTCACAACGAACAACACCTCTTGAGGGGCTGGTCTTGTTGACATTCAAACCCAAAAATTTTCAAAGCAGCTATGTATTTATTTTGAAGTCTCCTATATTTTGAACGATCTCATATTAATTTGGAACAACTCCTTGCCCAAACATTTAAAAAAGTCTTCTTCCACATTTTTGTTTCGGGTTCTCTTTTGCCCAGTTCTCGTTGGCCTTTATGAAGAAAATGTAGGAGTTGTAGGCCACTATATCATCAAATTGAAAAAGACTGCCATCCGCCATCTTCTTGTGCCTTGCCGACAACTATATGCTCTTAAACATTTATCAAGCGTATCGACGCCGGCTTCTGTGGAGTTATAATATAAAATAATTTCTGGTTTATCATTCTGAATTTTCATATCATGATGTTGCGTGGAAAGACCGTATTCTTTTTTGGTACATAACTTACAAGTGTTTCACGATCTCGAAAACCAAAGCGAATGGTGCCAGGCCTTGCAGCCTTTCAAGATTGAGGTATACGTTCTGGTGGAACATCTTTGTCTTACTCATTATCGTTTATTACTTTTCCTGCATATGGATCTGCAGCAAAACAGTAGTAGTTTTCTGAATCACAGAGCACATTTACTTCAATTCCATATTTACCAGGTTTTGTAGAAATATATAAACGAAATTTGCATCTGCCGTGGAATGTTATTAGCTCATCATCTATTATAACTGTTCACTTTGATCGACCTCGGATTCTTCGTCTGAGCTCTGCAAATCTGAATCTATGATTTTCTTGAGATTCCTATGCAAAAAATCTTCATTTTCATAAAGAGCTTCTTCCAATTCACGATCAATCAAATATCTTCCACTCATATCAAAACAAATAAAACAGAATGCAAAAAATATCTTTATCAATTCTGCACTGCACAACAACTGTAATAATACCTCTAAAACGTCGCGGAAGTCGGGCACATCGGTATTATTAGGGAGGCGTACGCATGTCGCTAGTACTGCACGTTATAAAAACGTCCAGCAAAGGTCAAATATTTTACCAATTTCCACAAACCGTATGTCAACGGGTTAAAAAAATACGTATAAAAATATCGTAAAAGGATTTTGAAGAGAAAGTAGAAATGGATAATGCTAAAAAATAAGCTGGGGTCATTGCCTGACCCTCCCGTTCCCAGTGAGACTGTTAACAAAATATTTAAAATGGCCCCAAAACTTCTCCAAAAATTTCTAAGATTATTTAAGATATCCTGCAAGGAGATTTTGTTAAGGTCTCAGTGATTCTTAATAATTTGTCTTTTAGTAATATTAACTCTCTTCTCTTTCCTCCCTCCCTTTCCTTCCTTCTTTTTGCTACTTTTTATATATATTTTTTATATTCAAAATTGTTCATTTGATTAACTATTTTATTATTTTACTGGCGCTAGTGAAGGAACAGGAGTGAAATCTCATTTACGAATGAACTAGTCTGCATGTCCAATTACCCTCAGTGATATATATTATGGGTTAAGGACATTTGGACGTGGCCATTTCGGCGTGGCCATTTGGACGTCAGGCCGTTTCGGCGTCGGAAATACTATTTTTTAGTATGTATGTTAAAATCGCTGTAAGTTTTATTATGAAATAAGTAAAGTATTGAAATAAGTGAGGTATTGCATAGGAATGGGATAAATGTTTTAATCTGTTTTTCAAGTATCTATAATTTCTTCCATTTCTGTTGCAGCGATGTCTTCGCCAAAGTTCTGCATAACAGAAGTTGCAAACTGTTGGATATCAATTTCCATAAAGGGTGAAACAACAAACTGCTATACTAAAGTCATTTCGTTGAAATCCTTAAAACGATTTTTGAAGTTATTCTTTAGAGTAGAAACTATTTCTACATGTTATTTGCTGTCATAGGGTTCTAATGGATTTTGAGATATTTTTTCTAAAAGAATAGGAAAATGCTTGGCATCGCTGTTAATTAGGTTTTGTTCTCAAAACTCCAGCTTTTTAATAAATGCTTTTATATGAGAAATCATTTCCGCTAGTTCTTTGTCTCTCCCCTGAAGCTGCAAATTAAGTTCGTTTAATTTCTCTGTAATGTCCACGAGAAAACCAAAATCTCTAAGCCAGATTGAATTTTCTAGTTCCGGAGTCGGTTCATCGCGTTGTTTAAAAAATTGAACTATGCCAGATAGGATATCATTAAAACGTTTCAGCACCCGTCCTCTACTTAACCATCGGACTTCAGAGTGAAGGAGTAGGTCCCCGTATTGACAGTCAACTTCATCGGCCAAGGTTTTGAATAATCTTCTTTGTAACACTTGAGCTCTAATCTTGTTCACAATTTTTACCACCAGTTTCATAACGTTGACTAGTTTCAGGAAATTTCCACATAATGCTTGCTGATGGAGAATGCAGCGGAAAAGTTTCATCTTTACGACATAACGCCACCAGACCCTTATCACAACCCACCATAGCTAGAGCGCCATCGGTTGTCAAGCCTACCATTTTCGACATTGGAATTTTCTCGGAAAAAATATTATTTTTTTAATGAGAAAACAACTCCTGCCAGTAGTGTGTCCTTTTAGTGGAATAAACTTCAAAAGATCTTCTTTAATTGTAAAATCACTAAAAACCATCCTGACGAACACGGCCTCTGGGCAGTGTCAACGACATCTGTTGATTCATCCAGTTGAAGTGAAAAATAAACACAGTTATCTAAGTCAGTTCTTAACTGTAAAAAAATATCATTGCTCATTTCTTCTACACGTCTCATCACTGTATTAGCAGAAAGTTGCATAGATTTTATAGCTGGAACTATCTCGTCTTTATTTCTATTGGCAAATAACGAATTAGCAGCTTCTAAAAACGCCTGTTTTATCATTTCCCCGTCTTCATAAGGTTTCTTTTTTTGTGCAATTATCTGGGACACACGGTACGATGCTTCAGTTGCAGTCTTATTTTTGTCGACTCTTCTTAAAAATATTGATTGTTGTCCAATTAACTACTTTTGTAACTGTTTTAGTTTCTCCTTTCTGGCGTCAGAATGTAGTGGGAATGATTTTTCAAAATTAGAATGTACAGTTTTATGATGATGTCTCTCAATATTTCCTTTTTTAGCAACGGAGACCGAAGTATTACATAACAAACACACATTTTTATCTTTAACTTCTGTAAAAAAGTATTGTTCTTCCCATTCCGAATGAAAGTGGTATGTCTTTACCTTCTTACAACTGCTTGCCATAATATTATTTTTTGTTGTTCTCTACTAACCCAACCGCTGGACGTTGATTACGCGTTCAGTTTTAAACTAAGCGCAATGTCGCCGCGCCGTGCGTATTTATCCCGTTCAAAGCAATCCTGATCGTTCCCGAACACTAACGCGCTGGTCCGGCTGGTCGGTTCTAGCCGATTCTAGCTTGATGGCGTCAGCGGCAGATCGCTCACCGCAACGTTGTTGCTGTTTATGTTTAATATTATGACAATTAGATTTTTTTGTGGAATTTTCGGAAGATTCTCTGATTTTTGCAGTTTGTATTTTTTAAATTAAAATCGTTGTGAGAGCTACCAGAATTGCCTCCGCAAGCTACCGGTAGCTCGCGATCGACAGGTTGGCGACCACTGGTATATTGTGTATTGCATTAATATTCATAATTAAAGTTATTTTATTAATTTATTATTATTTATCTAACAGGTACTGTTGGACCAATCTCTGTAACCATGGACGCTAGCCTCCTCCGATCATACCACGAAGGTATCTTTGAAAGTGAGGACTGCATAGCTGACCCCTATACCTTGAATCACGCTGTTGTTGCTGTAGGCTATGGAACCATAAACGGTAGAAAATACTGGATCCTAAAGAACTCATGGGGCGTTAACTGGGGTGAAGATGGTTTCTTCAAATTGGCCAGGGATGCTGACAACCAATGTGGTATCGCCCTCCAAGCAGCTTATCCAATTTTAGCTTAAGTTATAAACTTGAAATTAAGCTATTTTGTAGAGTTGATAATAAAGTAATTTAAATATATCTTTCCTTCATTGTTTTTTTACAATTCTATGGTAATGAGTGATTCAGTAAAGGTGCAGATCAGCAAAAAAGAGTTCGTAAGTATCTACTAAAATATTTTGTCTACGACTGTTCTATAAAACATTCAATATACTTGTACTTCCTTAAGAATAATTATACCTATTATTCACGGTAAGACGTGATACAGTGAATAATGAACTATTATTTATGGTATGACGTTATAGTATGTTTAAAGTCGAGAATGTTACTTATATTAATTTCTAGGTTATAATATATGTAATATGTAATATGTAAATGGAATAATTTTTAGGACAAATTTTATACAAATTTTTAATCTAATATCCAATTTTTTTAATCTTAATAAAAAGTAATTTAAAAATCTTAACCTTACCCCAAAAATGCGATTAAACTTACCAATTTAAAAAATATATAGTTCTATCACCGGGAGGTAAGCTGATTTTTTTTTTTTATTTTATTATCGTGTTACTAGTTATCCGAGAATTGAATATGACTTAAATTTGTTATTTTCTATTAAATATTTCTTAATCTGCTTCTTGTTGTATTCCAAAAACAACAATTAGATAAGCAACATATTATACTCCACCTAGAGTACAGAATAAGAAACGCTAAATCACAGATTTTAGAACAGAAAAAAGTTTTTAGTTACAAAAATTAAGATGTTAGATAATGAGTCTTTTACACATTCTTCGTGCTTCTACACCTCGAAATATTTAAAAAGCATAACCTTATCTAGGCAACACATTTTACTTTGCGTACACAAATTGTGAAAAAATCTTGGCATGCCATGAATTGTCAAATCACAAATTCAAATTATATTTGAATGCTTATTAGATGGCATTAAAAGGTTTTTAGTGAAAAAAATTAAAAATGTCTCAAAATTAATCGTTTACACCTAATAATATTGAAGAAGAAGCAAAACAGGTGGCATTAAATTTGTTTCCAGAAAAATCAACAAAACTTTATGTATCTGCACATGAATCATTTTTAATAATAATAATCATAGAAATATATATATACCGGGTGTTCAAATTAAAGTGTTACAGTTAAATACCGCCGAAAATGCATTTTAGAAAAAAAATTATCTGAGTTTTGACTCACTCTGTACACGTCTGTTGCGCTAGGAAAAAATTAGTATATTCTTAAAAAAGTAGACTATCATTAAAAATGATTCATCAAAAAATTTTCATGTTCGATTGTTCCTTTTGAAATATACCGAGGGTTGAACCTATTACGCTTTTCATATAAAATTGGTTAAAACTTCCAAAATACCCAGTATAACCTCACACATGTTGATATTTTCTTGAAGAACAAAGTCAAAGGAACTCAAATTTACAATTGGTCCATTTAAAAAACCAAAGGTTTGATCAATTCTGAAGTTATGGATCACTCTGTATATTCGAAAATAATTTTGAAATGTGCAGATTAATATTATCTACAACATGGCACATTCCCTAAAGCAAATACAGAACGAAATGTAGATCATGAGCAGGAAGATAATATTCTTGATGCTGTTATTGCGAACCCCACAATAAGCACCAGGAAAGTAAGTCGACAACTTCAATTAGTTCAGCGGCTACACCCTGGAGATGAAATCCATAGGTTGGAATTTTGTAGGTAGATTGCAAATCATAGACCAGTACTGTATAGAACATTGTTTACAGATGAAGCACAGTTTACAAGGGATGAGATAAATAATTCCCGTAAGTTACATGTGTGGGCAGTAGACAATCCCCATGCTGTTCGAGAGTTTCGGTCTCAGTTAAGGTTTTCCGTGAACGTGTGGATTGGTGTGATAAATAACGAATTTATAGGACCTCACTTTTTTGATGGTCCTTTAAAATGACAAGTTTACTTAGACTTTTTGCAAAATACTTTGCCTAATTTACTTGCCAACGTAGGTATTTGAGGGATGTATTTCCAACATGATGGAGCATCGCCTCATTTTTCAGTTGCGGTAAGAAACCATCTAAATAATATTTTTGGCAACAGATGGATACGACGTGCAGGTCCTATTTCATGGCCTCCAAGATCCCCAGATTTTAACCCCGTAGATTACTATATTTGGGGACGATTGAAAGAATTAGTTTATTCACAAAATATTAATGACCGACAACAATTAATTGATAGAATTATCCTTTGCATTAATGTTATTAGAAACGATCCCTTGACTATCCGTAAATCAATAAGGCACTAAACGATTCGGCAACAAAAATACGTAGAAGCTGGAGGGTTTCATTTCGAACAACTACTGTAATTGTTAATTTATTACCATGATTTTATTTTCTAGTATACATGTTATCATTATTCTATGTATGTAGTATTAGTTTTTTTTTAAATTTCTTAGTTGTTCGTTATTCTAATTCGTTAAAATTTATTTATTGTTTGTTGATGAAATTTAAACGAAATAAAATATTTCTAATAAATACATATGAACTTATGTTTAATTTATTTGAGTCTCTAAAAATGTGCAGGGTGATTTTTGTTTAAAAATCAATTAAAAATTTATAACTAGGCCTGGAAATTGAATAAAATAATATTAACGGTGTAGGCACTAAAGGCTTATGTTAGACTCGTTTTAGTTCAAATGTATACCATTAACAATTTTTTCTTTAAGTTATAACATTATAATGTGACCCCTTAAGTTGATTTTTCAGTTTGGCTCAAAATTAAAACTTAATAAAAAAAATTAAAGAAAATGTGACGAAAATGTGACAAAAATGTCACATACACAGTTTTGATTGCCTATCTATGTACTTTAAAAATATCTTATTATAATTTAAAAAAATCTTATACAGGGCGAACTTTTTGATATGAATCGTCGAGATTAATTTTTCCTAAGCCAATCCTGGAATTTTTAACTTTTGAGGATATGAATTAAATGATAGACACCAGTGTAAAGCTCCACCAAAAAATTAAAGAAATCTAGTAATCCTTGTAGATTTTACGGCCATATAAAGTTTTGTTAAAATTAATAACGAAGGGGAGTTGCCACTTTTTAATGCTCATATGATATACCCCTTAAGGGACTCTACATATGGTAGAAGTCTGTAAGGTTCCTCATGACTCACCCTGTATAATTATAGGATAAAATAATAAGTTTTTTGCTCTCTTAAAAAATGCAAATTTTGGACATATGACCTTTTGTACTTTCAATGACGATTTAAAAATGTAATATGTACAATGATATTTGATATTGCATTTTATGTAAGATAATATTCCTTATCTTTTAATATATTTTCGAGTGGTTGTTTTATAAGGAATTTAAGTGAAATAAAATATATTCCATAGCTTAGTTCATGTTTTTTGTTCTACTAAGGTAAGACTGCGAATAATATTAGCAACTATTTTCATGTCATGGAAAATGTTATTTGAATGAAATATCGTACCAGCAAATTTCAATATTAGAAAGTCTCATGAACTTTCGTAAAAACAAAATAAATATGTTGATTTTCATGTTTGTTTTTTTAGAATAATTATTTTTGTAAAAAGTTTTACTATAAGAAATATATTTCATTTTGTTTATTGACTATTGGCAGGATGCAATGTGCAATGTGGTATTTTTTCTATGTTAATGAAAAAATAAAAAATAAATAAATTACCATCAAGCCAATTGGCGCTGCCCCCACCTTCACAGTTTACAAGCCGCCTTTGCTTTCCAGTTGGTTTTAAAACCAGGGCCAAACAAAAATATATACACAGGTTTTAAAATTAGTAAGATTTTGATATATCAACTTTTCTAAAAGTTGTAACTCAAAATAATAAATTATTAATACTGTACTGGTCTTTTTCGTAAACACTAATGGTCTTTTTTTTCAGAAAAAAAAAACATGAAAGTTTCTATTGTTTTCGCAGCAGCCCTTTTGGCAGTCAGTGCCCTTCCAGCCCAAGAAGAGTGGACCTTGTTCAAGGTAATTTATTATATCGAAGGTATCTAGGTTATATTTTTGACTACTGCCAAATATTTATGAAAATTTTCAAAATTGTGATCCTAATTTTAAAATAAACTATTAAAAACGAAAAAGTAATTACATTTTTTTATCTTAAATACAAGAGAAAGTAATTTATATTTTTATAGAACTCCAATATACATAAAAACAATAACAGCAAATTTTTATAGTATAAAAAATCCACATGCTTAATATAGTATGTAAAAGTATTTCAACAATTAAATGACCAAAAAAATTTAAAAAATTCCATAGATGTGTCAAGAAGTCGAAAAAATTTAAATTATTTATTTGTAACATTTTAAAATTTAAAAAAGTTCAAAAACTATCAACAATTGCGAAAATTTTCTAACCCTAGAAAACAGTCGATTTCTAAAAAATGTAAATATTTTCAAAATCTTTAAGATATTCCCAAAATCACTCAAAAATAAAAAATCGAAAAATTTTCAAAAAGCTCAAAAACAATAAAAACTCGAATTAACAATATGCAGTTGTTTTCGCACAAGTAATCCCTCATCTTTTACAAACCCACTGTTATTTTCAGTAAGAACAACTTTGTTTATATAATTCATTCCAAAATATCCATATTCCATGCAAAAACAAACTTATATGGGTTTGGGTTATTTATATTGCCTTAAAAAATAATGTTGTTTGAAAACAGTCGCCTATTGTTTTCAATTTTGTATGAGAATTCAGTATTTTATAAAAAAAAACATAAACTTAGATCAAAAGAGTTTTAAACTTTTTAAATAGTGTATAATAGTCTTGCTAAAAAATGTTAAGGCTCATTATGGGATGCCTATATGATATCACAAGATAGCCATGGAAACAAAAGTTTGTTTGGTATTTAAGCTTCAATTTGACATTTATAGATTAAAATTTTTTTTACTCATAATGTCGTATGAAATGGAAATCCGAAAAAGTATTTACAATTTGGTTGGGCGAATAACTAAGGTTAAAATTGTTCGAATTTTTCGAGACCCAGATATATCGGTGAGTACCATATGCGGACCATAGCAGATTACGAATAGGAAATTCCATGCTAAAATCTGTCGAAAAGTGGAAGACGACGTCATTTCAATCCTCAGCAGTGCCATAGAATAGTAAGAAAAACAAAAAACAGGGTCGGCGTGTCTCAACGAAAAATACCCAGAGCGAATACAACTTCTCACAGTACAATTTGCAGAATTTTAAAAAGAAGTGGTCAAGTATATTGTAAAAGACAAAAATGTCTCAAGTATACTCCCAATCAGCTGGTCAGAATACTACGATGCTGACGAAATCTTAGATGCGTATACTTTGCAAATAACAAGTCAATCATTATTGCTGATGAGAAGTATTTTACTTTGGAGAACTCTGAAATAAAAGGAAACGATGGATTTTACACAGACAACATAGAAGAATGTCTAGACAATGTAAGGTTCAAGGCAAAAGCAAAATTTGTCATCAAAATTTTGGTGTAATGTGCTATATCTTCAAAAGGTTTTGCAAGGCCATATATTGGTCATGTTAGGGGCGAGCCACTAGATAGCAGGCGCTTTATTAACAACTGTTTAACAAAATTTCCCAACTTTATTGAAGAGAATCATGCGGCTGGCAAAATGATGTTTTGGCCTGACTTGGCATCATGTCATTATGAGAGACAAATGCAAAACTGGCTTAGACAACAGAATATTCCATACGTTCCGAAAATTGATAACCATCCCAACTAACCCTAAGCTCGCCTGACGAAGATTTTTGGGCACTATTGTCACGAAAAGTGTACAACAATGGATGGTCTACTCAAAACAAAGACCAACTACGACGTAGAATTATGTCCAAGGTTCGAGAATTTGACGCTGAGGATGCCCAAACACTTATGAGGAATGTTCGTAGGAACTTGAGGCTTGTGGAGCAGCATGGACCACTACATATTATTAAATAACTAATTTATGTTTTTAGACAGATTCCTAGTTGTAAGGAAAAAATAGTTTTTAAATAAATTTATTTCAGTTTAAAAATATTTTACCTTAGAAATTTGCGCAAAATCTTGAACCATGCGTTATTTCTGAAAAATTACACAAAAAACAAGAATTTAGGAAAATATAACAAAATAAAACGTCTTTCTTTTTTCTCATCTTTTAGCTTCTGAACCTCTTCTAATCTTTCCTACCTAATTATTCACCTCCCTTTTGTGTTTATCTACATCTACTTGATCTGTTTCCTTCTTTCTATTTGTCTTTTTCCTGCTGCACATTTTCTAAATTCTGCATGACTATCCACTCCCCTGTTCGTTTTCCTATTGCTACACCTCTGCTGCCCCTAATTCTTTTCAAAAATACTCCCTTTCTGATCTTGTTATCATCAGCCCCCTTTAAACTCTTTTAAATTGAACCTTATCTTTTGTTCTCTGTACTTTAGCTTTTACAATCTTTATTTTATCTAACTTCAAACCATCAAATTATTGTACCTTAATTGTATCTTATCCTTTGACCTCTGTACTTTACCTTATGCAATCTTTATTTTATCTAACTTTAAACCATTAAATTAGTATATTATAAAGATTACAGTTCATCAAATTTCTAGAGGTGTTCGACGCCCAGACAGAGAACGCGCTACGTGTGACTAAGATAGCTATTGTACAGTCTGCTAAACAAGTTATTTTAAATAGTTTTTAATATTTTTAGGTAATTAAATTTTAAAAGTGTGGAATAGTTTAGGGATTAAATTGGTCTGATTGGACTTTCTTAGAACGTTTTTAAAAGCAGCTAAAGATAGTATGTAGAATTGAAAATAATTATTATGCCATAAAAGGTGTTTTGGAATTCCTTCAAACTTTTGAAATTGAGTCAGAAAATATAAATTTTATAGGATAGCGGAAAATACCTATAATTTTTTTGTAGGCCTTTGTAAATCGTGGAAATAGTTTATATTTTATTTCTACCTTATTAAGGAAAATGGTACCTATAACGGTTGTTTCTGAAACATTACTAAAATTTTCAAAATTTTGTTTTTCTACAAAATAATAAACTATACTATTTAGAAAAAAATTTATTTCTCTTATAATTTTATAAAAAATAACGGGAATATTTACATTTCTTGATCTATTAAACAAAACGATAAATTAACTCGACGAATGACACCATGTTCTAGTACGGAAACTAGCTTTACATTTTTGTTGGTGGTTTCATGGGTTTCATATCAATTTTTTGTAATTGTAGTTTACACGTACATATACCTCTTAACACTTGTTTGCTTTATTAAAAAAGTGTGTTGTTGTGATTTACGTCGAAATAAGTCAAAAACAACTTGAAACCCCATATAAAATCAAAAAGGAGAAACGGAAAAAAATTGAGCCTGTAAATTGAACACAACTCAGAAACAAAAATAGCTATCTAATAATAAAAAAATAAAATTCGATTCTTGTGCATCTTCGTTGTAAAAATAAAATACTTTTTTGATCTTAGGTACAGATATAATTTTAATGGTCTTCCGAAAAACTTTCTTCAGTTTCCATATCAGATTCAAAATCAGTCTCACTGTCACTGTTTAAGTTAATTATAAATCAATCAGTTGCCTCATCCAAAGTAACTTCTCTGTCATAAAATTTAGATTCCCACATTTTAGCATTATTACAACGAGATTGCCACTCCTCTTTAGAAAACGTATCAAAAAAGTCTTCACACAACAGTTGTACGTCTTGCCTCTTAAATGTAGTGTTGTTACTAGCTACATATTGTTTCAATGATGCCCACACTAATTCGATCGGATTAAGATCGGGATGATACGGTGGCAAACGCAAACAACTAAAACCATGTTCATTTATCATTTCTTCAATTGCATACCTCTTAAATCGTGACTTATGCAATAGCACTAAACTGTATAATTGCGTTTTGAGCATATCCTCTTCGTAAGCAATATTATGATTCCTTAACAAATCCTGCATGTCAGCTTTTTTAGAAGTTGACGTTGGTGCTTTATTTAGCTGGACATTATGGTAAGGAGCATTATCAACAATAATGACGCTTCTTGGAGGGAGGTTCGGAAACAGCTTTTCTTTCAACCATTTAGAAAAATTATTAAAATTCATTTCATCGTGGTAGTCTCCACTTGTGGTTCCAGATTTGAAAATTAACCGGGCATTCGGAATAAAGCCCATTTCACCTCCTCCATGGACAATAATTAGTCTATCACCTTTATTAATTGGTTTCTTTAATCCCTCATTTGAATTATCACTCCAAGCTTTCTGGTGTGTGTGGGAGGCATGAATGTATGTTTCATCTAAGTAGACAATTGGACGGCCCTCTGCTCGATAACTTTTTAAACGAATCAGATAGTCTAAACGTAGCTTTTGAATATCAAACCTTTCCATTAATATTTTTCTGTTTGTTTTTGTTTTCCGCCAACGAAATCCTAGCGACTTTATTTTTCTTAAACTTTCATAGCTTCCTTTGTACCCTGTAGCTTCTCTAAATTTAGTCAGAATTGTTTTTAATGTTGGAACAATATTTTCCGAGATTAACATGAACAGAATAATTCTTTTTAAAATACCTTTGTCAGCTTCATCTATATCATTAACTGTTTTTGGTTTTTTAATGGTTTTTCTTGGTGATGAAAATTCCGATATCTCACGGTTATCGATTCTTTTTTTCTCTCCAGAAATGCGGACGACAGTGTTTTTAGATACTCCTGTGGCTGCAGCAACACGATCATTTACATTTTTAAATGGTATTGAAGGTGAATTAAAGTTTCCTTCTCTTCTCATAAACTCTATAACATTGGCTATTATTTCGCGAGATTGACTGTTAATCACGCGGCCTCTTAATTTGCTATTAAACTCCATACTTAGGTTCTATTAAACTGTAATGAGCAAAAAACACAAACGAAAATATAAGAAATGTTTGAGCGAAATTTACATCTGACATTTACGTCTGAATAAAATAGTGAAATACTTGATGCGCAGAGTGTACTTTCATTGCGTAAATCCGTCGGCCCCGCCAACCGATGCCTCTCAGTAGTGCTTTCTCTGTCTAGCCGTCGAAAGCCTCTAGAAATTTGATGAACTGAGTGCATAACTTTTCGCAGTAAGAACGAATAATTTAATAATGTTTCATTTAAGGCCACACATGGAAAATCTTATGAAAATATCGATGAAGAAAAAGTCCGTTTCCAAATCTTTCAAGACAACGTACAAAAAATCAACGCGCACAACGCCCTCTATGAAGCCGGACTTAAAACCTACACCATGGCAGTCAACCAATTCTCCGATTTGACCGCCCAGGAATTCGGAGCCATGCTTAGACTTAAAAATGGACCAATTAGAAGAGAGCACTTGACTCGTCATGTCCAAAATCCAAGTCTACCTGTTCCAGACTCCATCGACTGGAGGGAAAAGAACGCCGTTTTAGAAGTCAAGGACCAAGGAGATTGCGGATCCTGCTGGGCTTTCAGCACAGTAAGTATATCTACTATTAAAATTTTACTATAAACTACTCGTTTTGTTTTATAAAGCCTCATATTCATAAATAGAGCAAACACGAAAAAGCAAGAATAATTGAGCTCTTTTATTTATAATGGAGATACTCCATCCACGAATATGAATGAAGATTGTTCGCTCGGTCTCGTCCCAGCAAACATGTTCGATATTATTAGCTATAACTCGACTTGGTAAAAGTCAATGTACTTCCACAGCTGGCTAGCGCATGTTATACTTATAGCTTTAGATATATTATTAGGATGTCGGTGTCGCGATCTGGGAAGGTTTTACCCATCCGAAAAACGGATAACGTATCTATACAAAAAAAAAAAAAATAAAAAAAATATTTAGCGTTAGTTTCAAGGTTTATGATTAATTTCAGGTCGGTTCCATAGAGGGACAAAACGCTATCAAAAACAATCAAAGAGTACCTCTTAGTGTACAACAATTGGTTGACTGCGACGACGAGGAGAATCTAGGTTGCAACGGTGGTAACATGACAGAACCTTTCAAATATGTCATCAAGCACGGAGTTAACAGCGAAGCTGAATACCCATACGAAGCTACAGACAACAAATGTAGGGCCATGAATAGTACTGTCGTTACAGTTAAGGAAGGCGTAGCCGTTGATCCTACCGAATCTGCCCTCAAAGAGGCTGTTGGTAAGTATGAACTGTATATTTAGAGTATTAATAAGCTTGTTGTGGTGATTCTTCTTCTCTGTCGCATGATTTGTAATATACTAGATATAAAGTATTTTCTTTCTACATTTTGAAATTTGGGCTATCTTCAGTCAAATTATTTATAGGTTATTAACATGAACGTGAGATGCATTTCTATATTTTGTAATTGAGGGGTCCAATGCATAAATCGGCCAAGTCCATTGTTTGGGCAAAATTGCACAGTTTTAAATTCTGCATCTGCCAGTGCATGAAGCAGCTCTCTAACATTTAAATTGTAGAAAGTACAGTGTATAATTGGTTGCCTATGCTCTAATACTTTGCATCTTGGACTAGGTAATAAAGAGAGGACTTATAACGCCGCTGAAAATCTTGTTCCATTCTGACACCAACGATATTCGACCAAAGGCGTAACAGGTTGGAAATAAAAAAAAACGAACTTGTGTTTATGTTATTAGTTTTTTTATTGATCTTTTTAGGTATAAAGCAAGTTCAAAGCGTAAAATTTAAAATAAATAAGTAACAATAATTAAGACACAAGAAAAAAAAATTGAAATAAACTGAATGAAACCGTTTACATAATAAAATGAGTGTTTTTTTCAATTCCGCAAAATAAAATATAATGATCTACATTAATTAAAAAAAGATTTATTTTTAGTTAATAAAGAAATATACTGTTATTAAATTAAGCTAGTAAGAAAAATTATACATAAAACAAGAGTGTATATGATGGCCATACCGCACGAAGACGCAATTTAAGAACGACGCCGTAGGCGGAGTGTTCAATCGTATGAGTGCGATGTGGACAATCCACTTGAGCCATACAGTATGTTTTAGCCTCAAAATTAATCTATTTTTTTGCCACCTTTGAGTGTCAAATCCCGCCCAGAGGGTCCGCCGATCAAAAAATGTTTCTTATACCCAAACAAAAATAATAACTGAAACAAAACACATGTAACATGTAAATAATTCAATCAAGAAAATTTATTTCAGAGTAAAAATAATATAAATTACTAACCAAGCTCTGATGTTTGATTGCATACCAAAATCATTTTAAAAAATAAATAAATATTATTTATCTAACAGGTACTGTTGGACCAATCTCCGTAACCATGTACGCTGACCTCCTCCAATCATACCACAAAGGTATCTTTGAAAGTGAGGACTGCATAGCTGACATCTTTTACATAGATCACGCTGTTGTTGCTGTAGGCTATGGAACCCTAAATGGTAGAAAATACTGGATCTTGAAGAACTCATGGGGCGTTAACTGGGGTGAAGATGGTTTCATAAGATTGGCCAGGGATGCTGACAACCAATGTGGTATCGCCCTCCAACCAACTTATCCAATTTTGGCTTAAATTATAAACTTGAAATTAAGCTATTTTGTAGATAATAAAGTAATTTAAATATATACATACTTATCTAGACATCTTTCGGGTTCATTATCGCAATACCAACACGGATTTATTAAGGGTAGGTCCACTGTGTCGAATCTTGTGTTCAAAACACAATTTTTGGCAGAGGCTTTAGATAGAAGAAGTCGATCTTATCTATACCGACTTTTCTAAGACATTCGATAAAATTGATCATCAAATCCTATTACAAAAATTAAAGTCTAAGGGACTATCTGATTTTCTTCTTTTACTTATAGATTCTTTCTTAGAAAATAGATGTCAGTACGTGCAACACCAAGGATTTAGATCAAACCATTTTAAGCAAATTTCAGGTGTACCGCAGGGTTCGGTCCTTGGGCCCCTTCTTTTCATAGTTTTTATTGATGACATTATTGGCAAAAGCACAGAAGTAAAATACTTAATGTATGCTGATGATTTAAAAGTTTTTGCTGAAATACGGAACTTTGTTGATTGCATAGCTTTACAAAGTTGTTTAGCTGAATTATTGCTATGGTGTACTAAAAATTATTTGCATTTGAATCCTAGTAAATGTAGTGTTATGACATATACTAGGAGAAATTCATATTTCACCTTTGATTATCAGATCAATGGCACTATGTTAAGTAGGCCGGAGTTTATAAAGGATCTGGGAGTCCATTTTGACAGGGAATTAACTTTCGCAAGGCATAATAAGCAGACATGTTATGTGTGCTACACGGAGTCTTGGTTTTGTAATTCTAAATTCCAAACAATTTAAAAATATACATACAATGAAGTTATTATATATTAGTTTTGTTAGACCTAGACTTGAGTATGCGTCAGTTGTATGGAATCCATCACTTAACATTTATAGTAGCGCTATTGAAAATGTGCAAAGAAAATTTATGAATTCCGCATCATATTTTCTAGACAATATCTATCCTGCTAGAGGATTTCCTCATGATCAACTGTTGTCGCGCTTTGGTTTAATGGAACTGCACATACGCCGTAAAATGCAGCTACTTTCATTCCTATGGGATATTTTTCATGAAGGGCTAAACTGCATTGAGTTTCAGAATTATATCAACATTAAAGCACCCCGCCCTGGCCTTAGAATATACTTAAGCTTTTACTTGTCAGCTGCAAATACAAATATTTTGAACGGTTCTCCAATTTTTCAAATAATCAATAATTATCATCGCCTTCATGACAGTTTGGATCTTTTTAGTTGTAAGAAAATAGATATTTTTAGAGCTATTCCCATAGAAACTGAGTAGGTGTTTATCCTGCTTGGTAAGTTGATAATATATCTTTTGGGTGTATTTATTTTATTTTAATTTAATTTTTTAATTTTTTTAAATTTGTTTCATGCTCCTTTAAGAACTTAAATATAACTGAATATTTTACCTTCAGTTTTCCTTAAAAATAGGCTTTATTGTACTTCTTATTTGTTTTATGTTCAGTCATATCTGATGTTCTTAAGGAGGTCCTTTCGCCACACCTCTCGCCTCAAATGTTAAAAAAAAAGTTATTAGATTAAAATTAATTTTTTTCTAATAGTTGAAGTCCTTATTTATCTAATACTGAACTTTTAACTATACCTTACCTTGCAAATTTTTGAGATTTTTTTTTAAATGTGAGTATTTGTACAGTGCCTCACGAGAAAGTAAGTCCTCAACAACAATTCTCGAATTATACTATTATTTATTGATTAGATGGAGTAGAAAAAAACTAAAAATAAGGTTTTTGAAATATTTAGATTTTGTTTTATACAATAAAATATATATGGTAAACCGTGGAACTTATTGAGAAATTAATATTAAAAAATCACAAAAAATTTTCAAGTAACCTAGTTGAAAATTTATGTTTATGTTTGATTGCATACCAAAATCATTTTAAAAAATAAATAAATATTTATCTAACAGGTACTGTTGGACCAATCTCCGTAACCATGTACGCTGATTTCCTCCAATCATACCACAAAGGTATCTTTGAAAGTGAGGATTGCGTAGCTAGTCCCTTTTTATTGGATCACGCTGTTGTTGCTGTAGGCTACGGAACCATAAACGGTAGAAAATACTGGATCCTGAAGAACTCATGGGGCGTTAACTGGGGTGAAGATGGCTTCTTAAGATTGGCCAGGGATGCTGACAACCAATGTGGTATCGCCCTCCAACCAACTTATCCAATTTTAGCTTAAGTTACAAACTTGAAATTAGAGTTGATAATAAAGTAATTTAAATATATCTTTCCTTTATTGTTTTTTTACAACTCTATGGTAGAGAGTGATTCATTAAAGGTGCAGATTAACGAAAAAGAGTTAACAAAATCTTCTTCAGATGCTCTTTCAGAGTATAAAGAGTTATGTAAAAATAAACAACTACCACATCAACTTTTTACATAAAATCAAATTATTCCTTTGTGTCACAAGTCCTTGTGCAATTACAAAATATATTTGTATCTTTGGTTAAAGATGTTGAATTAATAGATAATGCGGAGTAAACATTTAAAAAAGTTCAAGGAAAAATGGGAAAAATTATTTTAAATAAATATTACGTTATGCTAAAAAAAATGAGGGGTTTCAAACTTTAAAAAAAAATTCCAAACTATTGTCGAGAGACTTTGAATCATACACGGGAATCAATTAAATTTTTTTCCCCATTTAAATTATGCCTCTATTATATCTGTAGACGTAGAACGAAGCTTTTCAATGTATAAACATATGTATACGGATAAAAGACAAAACCTTCTTGTCGAACATTTTGAAAAATGTCCAGTTGTCAATGCTTTTAACAATTTTAATAAATAGGAAATGTATTTAATAATATACTATGTTTTTATGTATCCTAGTGTTTAGATAACTAATATATAATTTTAGGTGCCTATTCAAGATAATGGTAAATAAGTATGTACTTAAAAACTAACTATTGTTTTATTATAAAAATGTGATTATATCCAACGTCACACAAATATAAAGTGAGGATTATTATTTATTATTATTAATGTTGCATTTTTCCTAAATACTTTTGTATATTTTTCGCAAATCAGGTGATTTATATATAAAGTGAATAGAAGAGGTTCAAGTGCAGTCCCTTGTGGAATGCAGTAGGTAACTGTTTTTGGAGAACCTAATAATCCATTGATGTTCACGTAATGCGTTCTATTTTTTAGATAACTTTCTAATATATTGTATATTTTTCCACGCAGTCTACAACACTTAATTTTTTTCTAGTACCTAAACGCTTGTAACATACCGTGTAAAAAGCTTTAGAGAGGTCACACAGATGCAAAAAACGTTTTTGTATCTAAAGCATTGAACAATTTGGAGATTAGAACATGTATTGCATTTTTTGTCGACCTTTTTTTAAACTTACCACTTGGAATTTGTTTAAAAATTTTGTTATTTTTAATTTTAGGATTTTTTCATAAATTTTTTAAAAAAATGATAATAGGTCGATAATTTTGGGTCAACGTTTTGTCACTTGTTTTATAAAGCGGTTTGATAATCCCAATTTTTAGGTATTTTGGAAAGCATTCGTCATTAAAACTCTTATTTATTAGATAGGTTAGAGGTTGTAAAATTTCGTCTTTAATTTCTTTGTTTCAGCTCTGATGTCCCATCCGGGTGCTTTTTAGCTTTTAATGAATTTATTTTGCCTTTAGTTACATTATGTTTTTTTATAGATTTTATAGATGTTTGAATAATATTTAAATTTTGAAGATGACAATTGTTGTCTCCTCTATATCCAAGTCCATAGTTGGCATTGTATTAGTTAAAAATATACAATTTTAAGTTACGTTATATTTAAAAAATCGCCTGGATACAAACTATCTTTATTTTAATCAAGATTTGGTCAAAGCTCAAAAGGCTGCATGTCGAAAATTATATTTACTTTATTGATAAAAAAGAGGGCATTTTGTGATTGCCATCTTTTCGAAAAACATCTTGTTATTAGACATATATGACATTCTATACTTTAAGTGATGATTTAAAAATGCAACACGTGCATTTGATATTAGATATTACACACGATAATATTTTTAATCTTTTAATGTAATTTTCGAGTAGTTCTTTTATAAAATATATTCCATTCCACAGTTCATTTTGTTGTTCTACTAAGGTGAGACATTAGTTCTTAGTTGTGTTTACGTGAATATTTTTTTTTTTTTTATTTTAAATGACATTAAAATTAAAATTAGAGTCCCCGATATATTGACAATTTATAGAGCAGTTAAAGATGCTTAAAAATTATATATAGAAGGCATTATTTAGAAATTAAAAGATATTATAATTAACATTAAAATAAATGTATTGCTCTAAGTAGTGAGGCAAGGAAGAAGGGATGTTGGATAAATAACGAAATTGTGTATTTTTTTAACAAAAGGATGGTAATATCATATTATAGTCTCGCAGTGCGATTTAATTTAATATATTAAATTATTCAAAATAAGTAAGTGACATAATAATTATAACTGTAAATTAAAGGGACATTTTTTAAAAACATTTAAAGAAAGATTACCTTTTAGTAAATTCAGCAAAAGCATACAACAAAGAAAACAAAGAATACAAAACAAAGAAGACACAGAAAACAAAACAAAGAAGACAAAGAAAACAAAAAAAAAAAAAAAAAAAAAAAAAAGGCTAGAAACCTATTATCTATTATAGGACTTTCCCCATATTAACGTTTTTAGAGAAAACTGTATTATATCAAAAACTTTACTGTGAAATATTGTAAAGATAGGTAGAACTTAAATGAAAGCAAAATAAATTTAATTAAAGCTTTGCTGGCCATTTGGTTTTGAAACCAGTGCCAAACAAAAATATACACATTTTAAAATTATTAGTCAGATTCCTAATAGGGGTAACTTAAAAAATAAATCATTATTATTTTTCCAACAAATACTTTATCAACATTTGTAAACAATTTTGAGCACTAATGGGTTTTTTGTTTTTCAGAAATTAAAAATGAAAGTTTTTATTGTTTTTGCAACAGCCTTTTTGGCAATCAGTGCTCTTCCAGCTCAAGAAAACTGGACCTTGTTCAAGGTAATTTATTAATATCGTTAATATATTTTCGATTACTGTTAAATATATATGAAAATTTCCAAAAATGTGATTCTAACCCTAAAATAATCTACTCAAAACAATACATGAAATCATGAATACAACTGAAAGTATTAGATTTTTATACTAATACTAATAAAAAAGTTTCTATAATTTTGACATAAAGGTAACATTTTTTGTAATCGCAGTAAGTGTCAAAATATTCAACATTATGCAACTGGCTTCGAAAAATCAATAATATTTATTATTATTGAAAGTTTATATCAAAGGAGGACATGCTGGCTTATAAAAAAATAATTTGATTAAACTTACAACCTAGTAATAATGTTGTTTTGGTACTTATTCTTTAGTCCAATTAAATTAGGTAGTATATTATATTATTAAGGATTAAAGGTGCTGCAAGGCCCAAATATTCTCTGTTGTAATACAAGCCTAAACGAATATTTTTTTCCATTTAAGGCCAAACATGGAAAATCCTACGAAAATATCGATGAAGAAAAAGTCCGTTTCCAAATCTTTCAAGACAACGTACAAAAAATCAACGCACACAACGCCCTCTATGAAGCCGGACTTAAAACCTACACCATGGCAGTCAACCAATTCTCCGATTTGACCTCCCAGGAATTCGGAGCCATGCTTAGACTTAAAAATGGACCAATTAGAAGGAAGCACTTGACTCGTCATGTCCAAAATCAAACTCTACATGTTCCAGACTCCATCGACTGGAGGGAGAAGAAAGCTGTTTTGGGAGTCAAAGACCAAGGACATTGCGGATCATGTTGGGCTTTCAGCACAGTAAGTATACCTACTAGTAAAATTTTACTATAAACTGGTACTAGTTTTGTTTTATTACGCCGTATATTCTTGAAGGGCAGTCAAATGAAAACCGAACACTCATTATAAAACACATTCCTTGACAAAGATGGCAACACTGTTGTTACGTATCGATATTGTCATGTGTAGTATAGGGTAAACACACAAATCAAGACAGTTACTCTAGAGGTGGGCGTAGTGAAAAGTGCGCTTTTCCAGAATAGGAAAGGTAGGCAAACAAAGAAGAGTAGAGATGTGATTCGTTTCTTAGTAGCTGACGGTGCCGGAACACGCAAAATTCATCGACGAATGACTACAGTGTATGGCAAACACTACATGTTACTGACAAGTGTGCACGAATGGCAGAAAACAGTCATCATTGCAAGACGATTCGCGCCCATGACAGGTCCATCAAGTTATTACGCCTGATGTGATTACGAGGATTGAAGGTCTGATACGGGAAAACCGACGAATCAAAGACTAAGAAATTCGTTTTCAGGTTGGCGTTAATCATGGCTCTGTGCATGCCATTATTAAAGACCACATGCGGACGTTGGTTTCATTCCGACGAGGAAGTGCAAGATACAGTGCGGCAACCTACTTTTTTCTATAAGACGAAGACGGCAATTAATCGTCTCCTCTCTCAGTGGGATAAATTCATTAATACTTTTGAGCACCACGGCAAATAATAAAAATAGCCGTTCCCTCCCCCCCCCACCCCCCGGAAAATCTCTTTAATTAGATTTAAAATGTGAAGATTATTTTTATTATCGTTGGCTTGGGTAAGCGTTAAGTCGGTTAACAATTCTTCTAACGTTTTCCCAAACTGGTAGTTTTTGAACCTTGCTTAGCATTATGTAGTTGTGTACCTAATGTTAATTAAATTTTGATTAGGTTATTTATATTATTTAGTCTAATTTTTGCATTTTGATTTGAACTTTTCTTTAGAATATAAGTTGTTAATTAATTTCCTTCAGCATCAGGAATAGCGTCATACAATTCAATAGCATCAATTAATTGATTAGTAACAATTTCGGTACCATTCATAATTGGGCAGACTAGCCGCGGTTTTTAAATCGAACTTTTCAGCCATTTTAACTTTATTTGAGCAATCTGAAAGAGAACAGTCTGATTCTAAATTGGTTTCCCGTTCAGTTTTCTCTATATGGTGCGAAAACTGTAACCTTTCAACTGTATTAACTGTAATTGTCTCAATAAGTTTATCAACAACATTTTCAAGTTCTTTAATATAAGATTTTGAGCGAAAATCTACGTCTGATATATTAAATAATATTTGTACCTCTTTAAAACTATCTTTAAACTTACTGTTAGTTACATTTATGTTACTTCTTCCTTCGTTACTGTCTTTTAATAGATTTCTATTACGATTATTTTATTTATTTATTT